TACACAGATAGCCTAGAATTTTTACTCTTGAACTGTGAAAAAATCTGGTCTCTATATTGTTCCTATCAAAATTTATTCAAAAACCAATCAGATTCATTTATTTTTGAATACAAGAAATGAACAATAAGCAACACGAAATTCACAGTTACACATCGTAAATGCACTTCTACTTAATTATTAATGTTTACAATTAGAAATTCAATGCGATCGAACCGTAAAAATAAACAACTTAACTTTTTTGCATTATATACAGTGGGTTCCAAAATTATTTAACAAGTTGTAATTTGGATTCTTTTTTTCGTAGCCTTAAATGCTACAAAGAATCCAAATAGTGATTTGAATAGAGAATATTGTTGCCAACAAGGATCCGAGAAAATAATAATCGTTATGAATTTTCCCAAATTAGAGTTTCTGGAAAACCCGAATTCTAGTTTTTCAACATTCAGAAGCTGCAACAGAAAACTTGTTTTAACAATCTAAAATTATAGAGCAGCCGATTCTCTATAAAATGAGACGTCTTCGAACTTTCTACGATCTTCCATTCAAAATTTATAAGCATCACAAAAATCGAAAAAAAGTGAAGTTTATGAGAAAATCGACTAAAAAAAAAAAATCGCTTTTTTTCGATTTTTGTGATGCTTATAAATTTTGAATGGAAGATCGTAGAAAGCTCGGAGACGTCTCATTTTATAGAGAATTAGCTGCTCTATAATTCTAGATTGTTAAAACAAGTTTTCTGTTGCAGCTTCTGAATGTTGAAAAACTAGAGTTTGGGTTTTCCAGAAACCCTAATTTGGGAAAATTCATGACGGTTATCATTTTCTCGGATTCTCGTTGGCAACAATATTTTCTATTCAAATCACTATTTGGATTCTTTCTAGCACTTAAGGCTATGAAAAGAAATCCAAATTACACCTTGTTGAATAATTTTGGGACCCACTGTATAGAACGTGTCTGATAACTTTTGTATTTTCTGTGTTATTCATTATTAAATATACTTATGAATTATTGTAATTGATAGTATTAGGGTCGAACTGAGAAACTATCAAATGAAGCCGATTTGTAATCGAATTGAGGTTAAACAACAAAGACATATGAGGATCGATCAATAGGATTAGATATTAGAATATTGAAAAATAAAGTATCATCATTTGATATTGTTGAAACAATCAATCTATATTTATTCCATGGAAAATTTAGAAATTTAATTACGAATTTTGAAAATCTTGTTTTTTATTTCTCTCAAAGTTTTATTTGTAATTTCATTTCTATTAATATTTTTATCAGAATATATATATATCGATTCAACTGTCCTATAATATACTCTCAAGAGTCTTATTGAAATTATGAATCGATAGATCTAGTTCAATCTTTTTCTTTTTTTGTCTTTGTAAATATCTTATCATAATCCATCGCAATTTATAATCTAAGAACAAAATGGTTTTTCATCTCATAGTTTGTTTCAAAAAATTTATTTATTTTTTTTCTCTAGGTCTTGGTCTTGAACTACTCAAAGAAACAATATGTATGTGTTGTCCAAATGTTGTCATTCAATTAGAAGATAGTATAATTTCATCTCAAGATCGAAAAAAAATGCCTGATTTGACACTTGAATGGTTATTACAACAACCGGTTTTCGAACCATATCGAGTAAGATTGAAGTTAAAAATTTTGTCTCTATGATTATTTTTTGAATATATTCCAGTGTCAAATACAAATGAATAATAAACGACAACAAGATTATGATGGACAATTAAATTATGAATATATTAAAGTAAAATCAGCAGCAGCATCAAATCGAATTGATAGGTAAAAAGAATTGTTATTAATTTCTTGAAAGAAAAAAATCTAGAAACTGTTTTTTTTAGCAATACATCAAAATTACGTCCACGTGATCATCGTCTTCTTGCGACTTGGTCTTATTTTTTCTTTTCATCAAATCTTTCACATATTCATTTATCATGGTCACAACTTGTTCATGTATCTCTACTTGATAATATGAATAAAAATTCGATTGTAATACCTGATAGTCTTGAACATTCGATTGTTGCATTATGTTCAAGTGAAAAAATTGATCAAGTAAAATAAAATTTATTTTTACTAAATAGTAGCAACTTATATTTATCGAATATTAGTTACGAAATTCAGCAGTTTCTATTAATGAAACATTTCAGTTATCGAATTATCAAGATGAATTCTTTGAATGTTTGGGTTTTGGTAAGACAAAAAAAAAAACTTCTTTTTTTCTCTCACTTTCTATATTTTACTTTACTTTCAAGGTTGGATAGAACATTGTAACAAGAAAACACAAACTTATGAAATTTATACTCCGGTTAATTGTCTTTCCAATATTAACCTTCTTGTTTACGGTGCATTTGATACACCTGATGAATTTCAATATATGTTCAGTAGTGTAAAACTAAAATAAATATCTTGTTTTTTGTGATATGAAAACAATGACTATTTTTATGACCTTCACTATGATTTTATAATTTATGCATTGTTAGGCATTGAATTTCTTGATAAATTTTCATATTAGATAATATAATATTTTGAATTCTTTATGACTAAAATGCATTATAATGATCGTATTGTAGGTTACACAGTGGGTAAGACATAGATAGAATCGGTTCCGATTACCAGTTGGTCGGATACAGATTTCATACTAGTCATGAAAAATCCAGATTGATGCCACCATTGATCTAAGAAACGGCTGAGAGTCGCCATCAATATCGATATTTTTGAGAGTGTCGATGAACGTTGTATAATGCATTTTCATTTTATTGATAATAAGTAAGTGAATCAAAACAATAAATATAAAATCCATGTTTTATTCTTATTTAGTTATTGTATATTTTCTTCTTGTTAAAGTGACCAGTATCTATTTTTATGTTTGCGATATTTTTATTTCCTATAATAAATGATAATAAATACAAGTGCAAGTCTTAACATGATTGAAAACTACAATGAAAACTCTTCTCCTATATAAGTTCTATGATACTTTATAAATCGAAAATTTTTCTCTGGAAGCCTAGTGTAGTGCTGTGGCAAATCGTCTCTTATTACTTTCCAAAGGAAGTACCAATATGTAAAGCTGATCTAAAAGTTAAATCTGCAATAGGTAACTATCAAATTCAATTCAATCATACAAACAAATAACCAAACTGGAAAACTCAGATGGACGAATCTGATCGAATCTCGTGAGACCTGATCATCAAACAGCCAGATTTCAATTGTCGGAACCGATAGAAATTTCTATCTTTGGTTGCCAATAAATTTTCTATAGGTTTCCACAAAAATTTTTGAATCATGAACGAATCCTGTATGTTCTGAAAAAAATTCATCATTCGAACTTTATTGAACTGCAGCTGAAAATATATATGGACTCTGTTTATTGAAATGAAGCGTATTTCTGACAGACTTTCAATGAAATCATAAAGTGTAATTAGGCATAGTTACATTGTAGTAACTGTTTATAACAGTAAAATATCACCTCAGAGTGAGAAGTACGAATTTGCAGTACATATATTGATAAAAATTTTTGAATTAGGATATTTCAGATAGGAGACGCTTATTTTGAAAATTTGAGTAAAAATTTTCGGAAGTGAGGGATCCATACTGACTAGCCGTTTCCGGTAATCATTGAGTTAGGATTTTCGACGCGAAAAGTTAATATTAAATTGTTCTGTGTTCAGAATGAGTCTTCATGATTCACAAAACAGACTCGAAGATTTCTCGAAATGTAGTCAATTGCAATTTGTCAACTTCAAATACCTTTGAGAATTATTAGTAAAGTTGACACAAAAAATGATACTTAGTTCACTTTTCGTGATTCACCAAAACAGATATTGTTTAAATACAGCTTGCGTCAAGAAAATATTGAAATCAGATTTTCTGATGATTTGCCCGAATTGAAAAATATGTATTGATGGTTCCTTCAGAAGTTATTTTAAAGTGAGCATAAGCTGATACTTTTGCGAACTTTTCATTTTTCTAATTAAACAGAAATTGTTTTAATATAGTTTATGTCTAGCACAAAACCAAGTTGCACTTTCTAATGATTTGACGTAGCTAGAAATATGCGCTGATCTCTCCACTCAAAAAAAAAAGAAACTTCCATTAATACAACTTTTATCCACAAAGGATCTATATCAATACATTTCCTTATTTTTCACTTTTAACATAAGAAGGAAACTTTTTTCAGTACGAACTGTATCTACAACAAAACCAAATCTCTGATAGTGACGTTTTTCAACACTAAATACAGGATTGTTCATGTAAGGAAAGTGCCATCACAAACTCTTTCAAAATGCACGCTTGTCATAATTTTTTCAAGATCTTTTCAAAGAACTGTAACTTCAACAGATATTTTCGACAGAAAAAAATAAGCAAAATTATATTTAGTTTTCCAAAAGAAAACAGAGTTTAATAAAAACAAAAAAAAAACGGATGATTTTTCAGTTATCTTTGACGTAACGCATCCATTTGAATTGTATCTCAACGTTGTAAAGCGTAAATATTTAATTGAAAGAAAACATTCATACAGAACACTCAAACTTGTCTTAGCGGTACAATATGGTTCGTGTCTTCATAATAGACAAGTCATATATATTGAATTTATTTTCTTGTAAAATTGTAATCATGGCGATGAAGACATCAATAAAAACGTCATAATTGCTGCAAAGTTTTTCTTGACGATGATAACCATTGAGCGACATAGAACCATAGTGGTGTTCTAGTATAGTTTTTTTGTCTTTGTTATAAGTATTTAACACAATGTCACGTTTTAAATTTTGAGTCTATATTAATCAATGAAGTAGACCATTCACTTGTTAGAAGGAATGAATAAATCAGATAAAGAAAGTTAACATCGAGAATATTAAAAAAGCAATCATAAATATCCAATTTCTTGGAACTAACTACGAAAAAAAATCATATTCTTGAATGCAAATTCTATTATGCATAACCAAACATTAATTTCATCATAATATAATGTCAATTCACTGTTTGAAATTGTCAATCGAAGGAATTTTCTCGATAACACCACGAACAAAATCACATTCATCATTTGACGGTGTTTGAAGTACGTTACAAATGAAAGATTTATTTAGAATGTCGATGTAAGAGTGTGGTCGCTCTTGACTATTTCTTTTCAATCTGAAAAAGTGGACATCATCATAGAGCGATGATTCAAGAAGAACTACTTACAAATGCAGAATAAGCTGCTGTATTTCATAAGAGACTGTCATCGGAACTGTAGGTTCCCAATTTAAAATTTTGAACGGTATTTCATTTGGTATCCAATCGGTAAACGGATGTTGACCACTAACAATTTCCAGTGAACTAATGCCCAATGCCCACATATCATCATGAATGGCATCAGGTTCGGGATCTGGTGGTAAGTATTCAAAAGTGCCTTCAACAGTGCGGAAGTCTAATTTTTCAGTCAAATCACCACAAATACCAAAATCACACAGTTTAACTACAGCATTCTTGTTGATAAGCATATTCGCAGGTTTGACATCTCGATGAATAATTTGTTTAGTTTCCAAAATATAAAGTGCAGAAGCAATCTATATAGAAAAACATTAGAAACTATAAATTAATAACAATAGTCTTACATCATGAATAATACGATGCATCAAAGGATCAAGTTTGTTAATGGCAATTTCATCAAGTGGATGCATAGCTTGGTAGAATTTCTTTATTGATGTATCCATCCACTCTATGCAGATACACAGCTGATTGGAAACCTACGAAGATGATATAGTATAGCATAAAAGCTAGACAGATAGAAGAAATCGGTACATACGGGATCGATCACTGCGCAATAATAATTGACGATATAAGGCGTGCTTCCAGATCCAATCTTTTTCATCATTGCTAATTCAGTATCCGCTGATGAGCGTCCATTTTCGTCTATTCGACGTAGAATACGCTACAACGTACATATTTTTTATCAGGTGATATGCGTATTATTGACAAAAAAGAAGGACAAATTGATTCTATTTTTTTCCTTGGCTGCGATGAGCACGGTTTCAGTAAGAACGTTCTCACTTTTCAAAGAACTGCTTCACTTTAAAAACTTTCCAATCTTCAAGCAATAATCTGTGTTCTTAGAGCTTTTTGAAGTAGACACCGGTAAACTCTATAACTACATGAAGGTCGAGCAGCATTTTTCTCGATGAGAGTGAAATGTCTCATTGGGATCTGGTTTGTAGATCAAAATTCATGAGACAGTTGAGATATTTTCTCTAAGAAAGATACGTACTTTAACTGCCATACGATCTTCAGGTAGACCTTTAATGGTGGTTAGATGAACTGAACCGAAGTTTCCTTTGTCGAATATTGGAATATTTTTAAACTGTTCAACGTTGACTGAAATGATTTTATCGTCATAGATGAATTCAGTTGAAACTTCGGATACTTTCGATCTAAAAGCAGTCTTGAAAAATATTTATTTTTGTCGATTAAAATATTTTACACGTAGTCGTTCGGCTCGTTGAGTTGCATTTCTATATGAGCGGGAAACTTGATACAATTCGGCTTCCCTAAAAATGAATGATACATCATTTTTTAAGTAGAAATAAAAAAAATAAATGTGATGGCCTTCACCTTCTAGATTTTTGTTGACTAATTGCGAGAACTATGTGTAACATTTTTTCCTTTTTCGTGCTTCCTTACTTGCTTTTATTCAACATCCGAATACATTTCTCTCTTCTTTTTTCTATATTATAACTCTCCGCATGGAGAAGGAGAGGAGGGTAGTGATATTCAATTCGTAGTTATCTGTTTAGGAGAGAGATATGGGGTGATTAGTCTCAATATAGCTAACAAATAGTTTCAAATTGAAGTTCTTCTACACAAGATGTAATTATGAAAAAGAAAATTACTTAATTATTGAAATTTCGGCTTTGTTGTCCGTCTCTTATCTATGATATAATAAGAACGACTTTAAAACTTTTACTAACTAGTCTTATAGAATACGAAGTTAGCAACAGAATATATCATAGCATCTTTATTTTCGACTGTGTTGAAGTAACTAGACAGTTCATTTTGTTAGAAGACATATGCTTCAAAGATTTATAAAAAACCTGTATATACTTATTTTCTGATAGAGAAATTCGACTGACATTAGACAGTATATTATCGCGTTTGTGGAAATCTGAGCATGCCTCTCAATAAATAAAATCGAAAGGCTTTCGTCTTATGATTACTGTTTATAGCGGATTATTCATTTCTCAGTTTTTTCTTGTGTGCCTTGTTGAATATTAAAGAGGTGCAAGGAAATCTAGAGATTTTTTACATTCAAGTTGCTGAAAGCGAGAAAAGATTCTAAAATTAATCTTTAACTGACGGTGAAGCAGGATCCATATTCCTTTAGCAAACTGCTTCCTTTGTGAAATGTTATCTAGGAGGCAAATTGTGGCAAAGGAGAACCAGGAAGAGTATTTCTATAAAAAAAAGTCGTCATTGAAAATTCGATTTTACTTTCTTCAAGAAAGAAGTTATATGATATTCATTTCTTACATTCGACTTAATACTATGGTATTTTATAATTTTCTCATTATTGATCAATCTTTAAATCAATAAAACAAATTTAAATATAAAATGTAATCAAATGAAATAAATCCATAAAGTTAACAAGCTCAATTTTAATTTTTTGAAAGTTGTATCATTGTATTCGAATTTTAATCGAAGAATAATCAATTAATATCTAGTTTTGCAAAGTTTTCTGTCACTAAGGAAGTGAAAATTAGGGATGCGCCCATATCAATCCATGGGATTGATCGGAATTGGTTTGAAATTGGTCTTGAAAAACTTCGAACGGAATTATTAATTCATGTGATTATGTACAAAATTAGTAATTGTACAACAATTGACTCTGACTAATTCCAACTCAAGAATTGAAATTGATCTATCTCTAGAGGAAATCAATGTCTAAGCGTTTGAATCCCGAAGATAGTATTAAGAAGAATTGTACCTCGTTTGTGTTGAACAGTCTTGACTGGAATTAATACATTTTTTGGCACCGTCGTTTGTTCTGTGAGCAGGATTCGACGATCGATGTTGATATTGTTTCGCTGGTCGATATCAATGAAAACTTGTTGATGCTTCTGATCTTTGCGATTGGTAACCTGTTCGACTCCACTGCCTAAATCAGATAAAATATTGACGTTTTTTTCTATACAAGGAACTTCATGCTAAGTTCACCTAATTCCGATAGCCGTGGAATTACAGCTAGTGATGTAGGAACGACGTTGCCAGAAAGCGCTAGTTCTTTCTCAATATTGGCATTATTGACCAATTGTTTCACATATTGTGTTTTCTTAGCTAAAATTAATGAGATAGACAAACATGTTATTTCGTGACATCTTGACGCAAAAATCTTCGTATTAGACTTACGGAAATCTGCCGTTTGCTGATCGCACAATTCTTTGAAAGACGTTTGAAGTTCATGTTTAGAAGAAGTGTTCGGTTCTATGCATTCTTCATTAGGGTTGCTGTCGTTAAACGGCTGCTGTTGTTGTAAATGGTCCATAGAATTATTGGTGTAAGTCTTTTTATTTTATCTGAAAATAGATTCGTTTGAAAATGAGACTCTACGATACATATCACATTAATTAGCTTTGTTGTCCTGAATGACTAACTAGAGTTGAGCTGGTGTTTCAATTTTTCTTCGATAGTCCTACCAAACATTTTCCTATTACAGCTATGACTTTCAATGTCCGATTCGGCGTGAGCTTCAAATTTATACTTTCCTTTATTCAGACGCTGAACACTTGTTTTATCTTCGTCACAAAAACAGTTTACGAGACACTTTTGCAGCATAAGCCTATTTTCTTTATACCGATCGGGTTAATTCTTTTATTTCACCGTCAAATGAAAACTCAGTAATAAACTAAGGCGTTGGATTTTTTTTTTGATGAGTTGCATAGCGCAGTTTCATATGCATACTTTTGAAAAATAAAACAAAAATAAACAGAAAAGGACTTTAAGTCTTTTCAATTCATTTTTCTTCGAAGAAATTCTTTTCTGTGGATTTTGCTTCCCACCTTCGCAAAGAACACGCTATATCGATAATTAACTCGTCAAGGAGGTTTTTTCGTGTGCGTCTTGATATTCAGATAACAAACATAAATAAAAAATATTTTAACTAATACTTATATATGCGTCCCTTTGAATATGGATCTAACGCCATGAAAAAAAAAGGTAGATAAGAAAGAGGTGAATATAGTCAGAAATAAAGACAAGAGATGAAAGCTAAAATGTGTATACCCCAAGGAATCAATAGAGGAATTCGGAGATTCAGAATTCCCAATATTTCTAGAATTCCGTCAATTTCCATGGAATTTCTCAGAATCCCATAAGATTTCTTTGAATTCTGTAGAGTTTCCTAGGATTCCATGAAATTCCTTTAGATTCGACAGCATTCCTAAGCATTCTCAGTAAGCTCCGAAGAGACTATAGAGAATAGCTATCTATGTCACAATAGCTTTTCATATTGGTATCTCGTTTTCCTTTTTTCTTCATTCGTGACCATCGATATATGCACATATCGGTGACTAGCTAATTGTATTCGGTTGAATGGTGGTTCTTAGGGTTGCCTTATCTTCGCTCCAAGCACAGCAACTGAACCTGTTTCTTTATTAATCTATCAATAAATTCAGAACAATTTATTCTAACAGAGCTCTAAATACATAGTAGCATCAAGGAGTTTCTTTACTAATCATTAAAATTGACATGTTTCGATATTAATGATCATCTAATTAGCATAATAGTATTCAGAAATGTTCAAATCGTTTTTTATTCAATTTTACTTGCTTCGATAACTTGTAATAATCTCTTAGTCGATGGACGATAAGATTTCTCAGTCAATAACCGTGAGACTGACCATTTTTGTGAAAATTTATTGAGATTATTAAGTTTTAGTTTGTAATATGAGTGTGGCTGTGAATGCCCATGGATGTAGACAAGAGCCACGTCTACACTTACACCCTCCTCTTTGTTTTTCAATATGTACCGTAGCGATGTTTATTTGTACATTATAAGCTTCCTATTTAGGTACTTAGATTCAAGATTTTTTTTTCTTTTTACTGTTTATATATGCATGAAATTGTATCCAAGTAGTAGTGGTATCATCGCCATTTCTCCTATTCTTATCGTGGCATTTTTAAAAGCTTTTATTTTTAAGGATTTATTGCTGTATTTTGATACTTATTTGCTATATTCTATTCCGTTGTATGTTTACTATTCATAATATGAAATATACATTAGAAGATATAAATTTGCCTGCTTAATTCGAAAGAAGAGCTCTCATGCTCTACATCTTGATGTGCTATTTCCAACAAAATAAGTCATGGATTACAATGAAGCTTCTTCAAGAGTTCTGGAATGCACAATAAAAAGACCATAAAATCATAAACTAAGAAAAAGCGAAAACGATTTTCTAATTTTGCTGGAAAAAACATATATTCTTTAAGCAGAAAATGATGGAATTTCTGGAAAAAACAAGGTTCCAAATCAGAAGTCATATCATTTATGAAAGACCAAACA